TATGCGATTAATCTCTCTAATGTTTAATGTCACACCATGATGTGAAAGAATCAAGTCTTAATTAACATTTGCTGACAAAGTCTCTGGATATGAACTGCTATTCTAGTTCAATCAATTAACTCTTCATCAGATATAATGTTGTCAAGAAGTTCTTGGACATGTAGAGACTTCAAACTAAAAGAGCACTCCATTAATTTGATGACAATTTTCTTTACAAACAGATAAAATTTGCACTCTGAATTTCAACTCACAGGTATATGAATGTTTCTGTACATATGTACATGATCAAAACAGACACAGAATTAGTAACAAATGTACATTGGCAGAATGAAGTTGATCAAAGAATCATCAGACTTGGAATATCTTAAAGATGTGATCAAATGTAGGATTTATTTGAAAGCTTATGTCCAGAAATGAGAGCTGAGACTGCCAGAGCAAAGAATGCCAAGAACTCCATGCTAATTGCTGCTACTGAAGAATCTGTGAATATGTTGTCATTGTTTTCTCTCATCCTATTTGTCAGTGGCACAGCAGATGATGCAGCTGATAATAAGAAGTATGCTACTACCTGCAATTCCACAAAAAAAAGAGTAAGAAATCAATCAATTTCATGTCTCACGATTGATTTAATCAAGAACTAGCCTTCAAGGCTTTGGTTTCAGAGATAAAGAGCGCAATCACGAAAGACACTTACTAGTGTCAAACTTCATGCTCACTAAATGAAATCAAGCTAGTATTAAGAACAAAATCAGAGAATGGAGTCCACTGGCATGAGAATCAAGCGAAGTAGAGACATAAGCGGATCCAAATAAAAGAAGCAAGATGGACGCGAATGTGTGAGTTAAGTGCATATCACTAGTTAGAATCTTATCACGGACAAAAACCTAGTATTTAAGTTGAGAAAAATAGAGGGACATACACATTACCTACCGAGATCAACTGACATTTACAACAACAAAAAATATATCTAGTGTAATCGCACAAGTGGGGTTTAGGAAGGGTGGTGCATACGCAACCTTCCCCTACCTTGTAAAGGTAAAGAGACGGTCTCTGATGGACCCTCAGCTCAGCTGACATTTCTTGGTTATAAGCAATTTTAATCAAGCTCTTCCCTTTTCACAAATCTTGTTGACTACTACTCACCATATCTATTGAATTCAATTGTTCATATCAATGGAAAATGACCAACCTGATCACCAACGAAGCCAATTAAAGCTAATCTCTGCCGTGAAAAAGATTCCTTGCCAGTTGAAAGTTCTTGAATTTGTCTCAGAACTTGAAATCCTGTATATATTGAAGATAGAATTGCAATAGCCAACACATACCTGTTATGATCACATCCCAAAATTCCATTCAATTTTCAAGACTAGAACAACATCTCCAACAAAAACAATAACAACAAACACTCGAACTTTGAGTATGCACATCTATAGACTATACATAATACACCTCACTCAACTCGTCTCGACTGTGTCAGTTCAACACTCCAACTGAAAAAGTACTATTATACCAAAACAAAGCATAGACTAAAATTGGTATATGAGTGTGTACCTGTATTCTTCATATTTATCAAAATCTTTCCAATCACCATGAGTATTACTAGCCATAACAATGAACGCAATCAATGAGAAAACCAAAGCAAGTCCATGCAAAATTAAACAACCCCTTTTCACCAAATCTTCTCTCTTCCATCTCCTCACGATTTCGGAGACACCGGTGCTGATTTCCGGTACCTGTCTCTCTCCATTTCCGGCTGCCGGAGGTGGAGTTGGTTCAGGCAAAACATCAGCCACCTTATGGGCATTTGCATCAGTCATTTTCTTCTCAAAATTAAGGCCTTTAATTATTGAACTGATAAACCAAATCAAGAATTATCGATAGATTTTGGGAATCGGGAAGTGGAAGAAGAAGAAAAAAAATGAGAACTTTTACAGAGACAACAAATAACTAGAATTATCTGTTTTCTTTGCTGTATTTGACAGCTTAGTTTTGTCGCCATCTTAAAGTTAGCTCCAAATGAGAAAGCGATTCCCACGAAAGATTTATTCGTATCTAAGCTTAAATCGAGATCTCTAATTAAGGAAAGAATAATTATTTAATTCCTGATTGTAATTGTAATTGTAAGGAGTGTAATGTTATGTTATGCTCTTTTTACACCAAAATGTTATTATCTTCATCTCATATTACTCCTTTTGTCACAATTTATGTAATAGCTATCGTTTTTCGAGAGTCAAACAGTTTAAGTTTGATCGATAATTTACGCATGAAATCTTCAAATTTTTTGAAATGAAATTTATATATTTATAATCTATGTAAAAAGTACTAAAAGTCATAATAATTGACAATTCAAAATATTTAAAAAATGTATGAAAAATTTACAGTCAATGATAAATTTGTTTGAATCTCGAAATTCAAAAATTACTACCACATTAGTAGTTGTTATATTTCAATTTTAATTTGAATAATTTTCAATTCAAATTAAATAGGATGATTTTTATTGGCAACAAATTAATTGATAAAGGATCCAAAAGGAGTTGTTAAAAGCTTAAATGGTGGGTGTTTCTAGATAATTCGAGTGGGTCCTGCTGAGTTAACTGATATTCCAAGTCATCTAATTGAAGGATAATATTGGTTGTAATTTTTTCTTTATGACAATGATTTTAATCGATACACGTCCATTGCTCATTTGACAATTATTTTCGCTTTTTATAACTTATTTCAATTTTTTTTTTTTTTTGTCCGATTGTTTCCGAACAATTTCAGATATGTGGTGTCTAATCGGGATGAACATGGTATGGTATGACACGATATTTAAAAGTTTTGATATCGTAATTTCAGTATTTAGTTTTTAAAAACATTATATCAGTACCATGCTAATTTAATTCGGTATGGTTCGGTATATTGAAGTTTGGTTTTGGTATTTTACAATATGAAAAATTGGTAATCATAATTTGTTCAACTTCGACTAATATATATTCACTCGACAATTAAAAAAATGTCTCAATTATATCATACTAACACATTACACATGTAGAAATATATATGTAAAATAAAGTACAAACAACTCATTTTATTAATCAATTACCATTCAAATACATTTCAATCAAAATAGAGTAATCAAAGTTTTAACTTTTAAACATTAGTTTATACTATACTAGGCTGCACATTTGTTGTATTTAATAATATATATGTTATTTATGTAACTATATACTTTCATATGGTATTCGATATTTCGGTATATTATATCTAAATACCAAATACCATATCGAATACCAAAAAAATTAAAATGTATATCAAATACCATAATATCAAAGTCACAATATTAATTTTTTTGATATGATATGATATTTTGATATATACCATACCATGTTCACCCTAGTGCCTAGAAATAATAATTGAATTTTAGCCATATGTGCTTTAGCAAAAATAGCCAAAATTCAGGTAAAAATGATTGTCAACTATATATAATGTAGTTTAGGAAAAATTGGTTGAATTTCAATCATTTAAAAAAAACCATGTGCGCCTGAAATTGCAAAATATATTGAAATTCAGTCATATATTATCGAAGTTCATAATATGTCACTGAATTTTAGTTATATGAAACTTCAAACTACATGTTTAAAGTTATTTTAAAGTGATGGAGTTACAAATTTCTACACTCAGAAAAGTTTACGAGTATAACTTAAATGGTGATCTTGAAATCAGGTACTTGACATAAAATTTAATTAAGAAAGTAAAAAAAATAATTTAAATCTCGATCTTGGTCTTAAATTAAAGATAGATAGAATATACCAAAATGTTCTTTAATTTGTGGTCTTAAATTGTCATGTCGAAAGATTGAAACTAAAGAATTGTAAAAAGAAACAAAGAGACATTTAAAAAAAAAAATGTGCTAAAAAATAAATTTAGGAAATATAATTTAAACAATGATTCTACAAAAATAATAATCTATGTTTTGTTTACCGATCTTCTATGAAAAAAATCTCACAACTATGTAAATGAACCGAAAAATGGAGGAATGCTCCTTGTGTATAATTCCAAGATGGAAAAAGGGTTTGATATACCTCCAACTTTGTTATTTAGAATTGATATACTCTAATTATAAAAGTAGCTCATATTCTCTACTATTACTCAAATGACTCGCATTTAGATATTGAAAAGGTGTATATATATATATATAAATAATACACTGGGTTATAATCAGGAAAGAATAAAAAAGTAAATGCTGAATTTTCTATGAATTTTTACATACTATCTCGTTCCTATTTACTTGTCGTCCTTATTAAAAATAGATATTTTTTAATATTTAATTCTTCTTATTTTATTCCCGAAAGCTATTAGCCTTAAAGCATGCATTCTAGTAAACTACTCTAGAGTAAAAAACTAGAATTAGGTAGTAATTTATCACCTGATTGGATCTTTCTTACTCTATAGTTATTTATTAATTATATAAAAGAAAAAACAAAAGAAAATCAAGGGCTGAAATAACATGGTGTAACAAAAAAAAAGAGTTATGACCTTAGCATGGGTTAATTAGATGAGGTCTATTTTTAAACCTAATTAATTTATTATATTCTCTCTAATACTAATTACTAGTACATGTATTTTTTTCCCCACAAATCATGAATGTTATCTCATGAGACAACATTCATGATTTGCTCATCACCTTCTTCCTCTTCTTTTTTTCTGATTTCCCTATAAGGAATCAGGCATACTCCATATCTAAATTCTCTCACATTATAATTAAGAAGAGGAACATAATTAAGTTACTAAATTAGTTCTTTTTTTGGAAAATTAATTACATGTAATTATGGATTTGATTTGGCAATCTCAAGAGTACAAGATCTAATTGCAAGGTTATATAATTAAAGACAAGAGATGGGTGCATGTTGTACATGTCAAAGGGGACAAAAATTAGAAGACAAGAATCATCATCATCATAATCATCATCATAATAATCATCATAGTTATTTTGGGGAGAATAAAAATAATAATAATGGGGAGCATAAAGAAGGTGAAGATGATTATCAAAGCATAGTAGGAAGAGGAGATTTGGGTGCTAATGTAAGGTTATGTGGATTTTCTAAATTTGTATCAATGTATAGTCAACAAGGTAAAAAGGGGATCAATCAAGATGCCATGACTGTTTGGGAGGTAATCTTCTTTCCCATTACTTTTCATTAAATTATTAAGGTGTGAGTCTGGTGCACGAAGCATCTCGTGTTCACGGAGGGTCTGGGGAAGGACCGCACCCTAAGGGATTAAGATGACCCCTTTCTCTATCATTATATATTCCATTCAACAATGTAACCCTAATAGATGCAAATTTTCTTCACTATTATGTTTTTTTCTTCTTTTAAATCATTTTTATGATAAAAAGTAGACATATCATATAATTCAAAGCATAGTATGATGCATATTGTTATTGATATTATGTGTTGATCAATGTATCTTTAGGGTAGCTAGATGAATGATCCCTAAATTTATTCAAATAGAAAGTCATTTCTTTTGAACTAAAGTCTCCTTAGTTGTTCTGGCATTCAGTGGCAGAGATGCATTGGCCCAAGGGTGGTCGATTGAATCCCTTTATAAAAAAAAAAACTCACTATGCATATATATGTCATGAAATTATAATATACATTGATAGTTTGAATACAGTTAATACAAGGCACATCTTTTTTCGTAGTGGCAAAGGGGTTTACAAAGTATTTTAGGTCATGGGCTCAACTCTGAGCCCTGGCGTTTTAGTAGTTATTGAATCCCCTTGACTCCTCCCCTGGTTGCATTCACCTTGAAAAAACTCATGACATTTAACTTGCATAGAGGTAGTAGTTTTATGTTTTATGTTCTAGATGATCACTCATTGCTTCATTGGACACTGAAAATTCGCTACGTAGAGCATAAATTATGATTTATTGTGTAAAAATGGAGGCAGGGGATTGATACTATAATAACACACTATTTATTATTGTACAGAACTTTGGTGGACAGAAAGGTATGTTTTTCTGTGGTGTTTTTGATGGACATGGACCATCCGGCCACAAGGTGGCACGTTACGTTAGAGACTCGTTACCTTCTAAACTTTCATCATCCAATGTGATCAGTGCCAACGATATTAGATGGGATGCTGAAAAGGATGATGAATCTAACAACCCTATCTTCGATGCATGGAAAGATAAATTCATCAAGTCTTTTAAAGAAATGGATGAAGAACTTGAAGGTGATGGTTCTATCGAAAGCTATTGCAGTGGTACAACTGCAGTGACTTTAGTTAAACAGGTAAAAGAAAACATACTTGAAAGAACCTAAATATGTTAAACGAAACGATGGTTTCTTTGATCTTCTTGTTTATAATCTAAGGTGGCTAGATTTGCGGAATTTTCAGGGAGAACATTTGATAGTTGGAAATTTAGGAGATTCTCGAGCTATTATCTGCACCAGGGATGACAAAAATGAGCTTGTTGCTAAGCAACTCACGGTAGACTTGAAGCCTAACCTCCCAGGTAGGTGCTTTTTTACAGTATCAGTGTATTGTAATCGGTTATAGCAGGTTCTTTACCAAATTTTAATTGCTATAGATAGTTAGTTGGAGAGGGGGATCTATGATTCGGACTTTATGGGTTCTGTATTCTAGGACAACAACCTAAGTGTTAGTAACTCGGTTCTCCATATAATTTTTGTACATATTAGTAAATATCTTATTACATATATAGGATTCGGACCAAAGCTACTGAGTTCTGTCGAACCTGTATTGTATAAGCCTAGATCTGCCCATGGTTAGCTGTTGTTACTAGTCATCTTAACCTGATGGTGTAATATGTCTTTACATTGTAAAACCGTTTACAAAAGTTGTGTTAATAAGATTGGCTTCGTTTTGTTAATCTATTTGTGCAATCATTTCATCAGCTGAATATGAAAGAATCAAAAGTTGTGAAGGAAGAGTAATGGCGATGGAGGAAGAACCAAATATATACAGAGTATGGATGCCTGATCAAGATTGCCCTGGCCTTGCCATGGCAAGAGCTTTCGGAGATTTTTGTTTGAAAGACTTCGGTCTCATCTCGGTACCTGAAGTATATTATAGAAAGCTCACTGAAAAGGATGAATTCATTGTCTTGGCATCGGACGGGGTAAGCTATATCAGAATTCAAACTTCTTGCATATTCCCCCGAATCCTAGTATTTTTGGCTAGAACTTGCAGAAAAGACAACGCAATCTTGCTATAGTACATTTCTAAATTTGTGAGGGTAACATGTCTTTGTGTAGGTTAGTTCATTAGATCGTTAGTACGTCTAAGATGAGTTTAAATGGAGAGGTATGGTTGGTGATGATTCATATAGCCGATTCCAACTTGCTTAAGATTGTAGTTATAGTAGTATTACTACATTGTTCGTCTAAGATAAGCTTAAATGGAGCAAAATGGTTAGTGATGATTCAGATAGCCGACCCCATATTGTGTGAGGTTGTAGTTATAGTAGTATCACTAAATTGCTCCCTCATATGCAAAAAATGGAATTGACATCAACGTCTCACGAGGAAGCTCCGGATTACACATTTTGCCAACAGTAGAGGACTAGAGGTAGATTCATAATTTAGAGTCAATGAGTTCAGAGTAGTCGCAGTCTAATATTTAAAACATAACTCTTTTTGTTTTGGCATAATGCATATAATTTGAGTAAAAGAGACTTAATAAGACAGCTAATGCACATTGTCTTGTTTTTGGTGTATAGTTGTGGGATGTTTTAAGCAACGATGAAGTGATCCGGATAGTAGCTTCAGCAAGGAAGCGATCTATTGCAGCAAGACTTGTGGTGCATCATGCAGTTCGAGCCTGGAAATACAAGTACCCGTGTGCCAAGGTAGATGATTGTGCTGTTGTATGCTTGTTCTTGAAACGCCAGAAGCCTCTGCTAACGAAATCGTTGTCAGAAGTAACCGAGCTGAGCTTAAATTATTCAGAGATAGCAACCAGCAAAAACTACTCACCAAACTCCAAGATAGATGATGGTCTTGATACACTGCTAAATTATCAAGTCAAGGAAGAAAAAGATCCAAATGTTGCAACTGGACTTAATGATGATCATAAAAAGAGTTCTTCGAGACACGCTCGTTACCTTAGCAGAAGAAAATCTGCAGTGAATTTTTGAGTCCATTGTAATGAAGCAGTAATGTGTGAAATTGAAAAGAAGAAAAAAAAATGTAAGCTACAAATTTAAATGAAATACTTGTATGTATTTTGATTTGTATAGTAGTACTAGTCAAATAGCCCAAGGCAAAAGATGAATGATGGTGTATTTGGCAAAAAAAATGATGACAAAATCAGGATTGACACCTTGGAGAGTTGAAAAATGTTGTTGCTACTTGCTATATAACCTAGCTAATTAACTAGAAAGGAACATGGCATTGTGATGAATCATGAAACAGCTCGGGTTGAAGATCGGGGGAAGTTTAAAAGATGAGGAAACCTAGCCGCTTCTGGTCAGGGTGAGGATAAGTTTTTGCTTCTTCACAACCTTATCCCCACAAATCCGACCTTGTAAGGCTAGTGCTTGGTGTTCGTTTATTCTATCATGTTCAGATAGGCGACTAATACTAAAATAACTAGTGAAGTAGTTTCCATCAGACTAAATGTTCGTTTCGTACACTAATTCTCCCTCCCCCACCCCCATTTTGAACGAAAAAAAAGTGTTACATTATATTTTCTTCAATGGCTAACAGATTGATTGATTCATATTGTTCTATTATTTCTTTATGTCATATCTTAATAACAAATTGATTGCACCTATAATTGAAATGTAAATCGAACCTTTTTCTTATAATAACCGTGAAATATTACTATACCAATAATATAAAATTAATACATCAACAATTATAACCACCTTCCAGGAAGAGTGTCAAGAGCTAGAAATTAAAAAAGCGCGATCTTAGCTAGAAATATTCCATGGAGATGTATGCATTCCCCTCACCATCCTTGTGACCTCCAAATCAATTAATCAAAATTGTACACTTGTAAGAACATTTCTCATGCTATCTGCATTCTCTGATCTCCACTATATTTTACAACAATATAGCAAAAAAAAAAATATTTCTCTTTTGTTTTTTGGTTTTTGAGATTATTCTTATAGTTGCCAAAAACAACTAAAGCTAGAGGCAAATTATAAAATTAAAGAGAGACCAAAAAGGTAAAAAGATAAAAGAATTTCCTAATTATCATTGTTAAGACATTGCACTTTTCACTAGCTAGACAATTAGTTAGCTAACTTATGGTGGGTACTTGAATTTTCAAAAAGTAATTTTGTTATGGTATATTGTAACGTTTTATCATATGGTCAAATAGTTTTCCATTTTGCACATGAAAATCTAAGATATATTTCACATAAAATACAATTCTTACCTCTCACATTAGGATTAATAGTATTTTTGATCCCTCAGTTATTAGTGAATTTTGATTTTTAGTCCCTATAGTATGTCACTAACCACATTTTAACCTTCAATGTGTATATTGAATTGTGCACTTTCAATCCCTTTATTTGTGAATATTCACAAATATACTATAATTATTAATTGTTGCACTTCTTAATTTCTCATGCATTATATCAAGTTTACATGGTTACACCATATTTAACGACAATATAGTGTACATATATAGTCACTATTATGTTCACTATTCATAGGACAATATAGTGTATATATATAGCACATTTAGATAACATCCACTATTCATAGGAACTTATACTTTATCGTTCATTTTATAATTTCTTACTTAATTTTCTCATTTAATAATATTCACAATATTTTTGAAAATAGGGTAGTACATGGTTTGATATTCACGTGCAACGCACGTGCGTCAAAACTAGTGTAGTTAAATATACCATGTTCTCTACATAAATAAAGGAACCAATAGGCAATAACACACATTTAAATTAATTGAAGAATAAATATATTGGGTCATATATCACAATTAGGATCAAAAGGAGACTTTACCAATTACTTTGGGATCAAAAGTATTATAATCCCCTCACATTAGGTAGGTTTGGATGGTTAATTTAAAAGGAAAATATTTATCTACATTCTGTTCTGGATCGTCAGCCGAATTTTATCAGTAAATGAATTAAGTTAGAAATCTTGAGACTTCCGTCAAGAGTGTTCTACTGAAAAATCCTCCGTCAATCGCCAACACCTTTCCATGAATAGATCAGAGGATCCTCGGAAAAATCCATTAAGGTTAGATTATTACTTACTTTTATAGAAAAATACATCAACTTATATCAATTTATCATGATTAAATCTAAGTAAATTGTTCCAAATGTAGACACAAAATGTAAATGTAGTTTTGTTAATTAGATTGTCAATTTATGGTAGTGCTCCTAGTTAATAAACTTACACCTCATAGATTTAGGGAATGAAGATTATCATTTGTAAAACTAGTGGTTAAGAACAAATAAAAATTGATAAAATGAGTCTTTAAAAAATTATAAATATAGAAATTGTATCTTCACTAGTTTCATAAATGACTGAATAATCGAAAAAAGGTCAAAATGGTCCTTAATATATCTTCTATCTATGAGATAAAATTTGTCCTTTCTTTTATCTATTGGATCAAATTTACCTTTAACATTTTTTTATGCTTAAAATTGTTCATCTATTAACGATACATTTATATGACATTGAATTAAATTTTAATTTTATATATGACCTTTATTTGTTGGTTGCATAGACTCGTCCAGCATAGACTCGACCCATCCATGACCAAGGGTGACTAAATCACCTAAAATTAGGGGTGGATATGGTTTTAGTCAACTTGAAATCCAAACTTTTTAGTTATTTGATCTGAATTTTTGGATTATGGATTGAACTTGAATTTTTGCTTTTAAAATTTACGAATTTTGTATTGGATATCAGATTTAGTATTACAATTTTTGGATATCTGAAAATCCAAAATTCTTATGTCTTATATTAAGTCATATCCTTACCATATGTGTTCGATATTAATAAGTTCAATTTCCAAAGATCTAATAGATCAGTCCTCTAAGGCCCTACTATTATAGTATTAAGTCCAATATGAAATTACACAATGGGCAATACAATGTTCTCAGTCCTTGTTAACGGTAGAAATTGTATATTCTAGGGAGTAAAATATTAGATGAAATGAAGTTGTTAATTGTTATGGCTTGCCTTAAAGGCTCAAAAGTCAAAATAAAAAATATAAAATATTCAAGTCGACTAATCCAAAATCTAACTTAAAAAATCTAATTCAATCAAAACTTATTTGTATTGTAATTTCTTCAATAAAAAAAATGATATATCTAAACTGAAATTTTCCATTCCAATTTGAATGGCACAAACACCCAACTCCCACTCCTACCTAAAATCGAATTACCTAATTGTTGTGCCGAATCGAGCTTTGAAAGACATGTATTTGATATTTAGTTATCAAAATTGAATTTTAAAAATACCAAATCAAATATCGAATGTCCACCCTAAAGATCCTGTGTCTGCTTTTTGTCTGTGGTAACAATTGTCATATCATATGTTTACTTTCCATGTGTTGTATTCACTAAGCATATCAAAGCTAATTGATATAACTGAATTCACCAAGAACTCAAGTTTGAAACTTTGATTATTTATTTATTTTTAGGGTACGTTCGGTACGGAAGAAAGTATTCTCAATTAAATAAAAAGAAAAATCATTTAAATTTTAAAATTTAAAATAATCAAATAAATTTGAATTGTTAAAGTAAATTCCATATAATATCAAAATGTGTAATATAAATCGTAGAATATTTTAGAAATAAATAAAATATAACATAAGAAAGTAAAAAAAAAAGAAAAAAAGTACAGTTGGTCAGTTGGGTGTGTTAGTTTGTTTCATCAAGTACTTGGGAGTGCAATTTCGCGCCTCTTTTAGTTATAACAGTTTTCTTCTTCCATTTAAAAGTGAAAATTCTCTCATTCTCATAATTCTCTCAGGTAATTTTCCCTTTTCTTCTCCAGTTCTCATTGTAAATTCGATTTCGATACAATTGAACTTTGATTTTATAGGTATATTTGGTTCAGATAACCGTCTGATCATCGATTTGATAGCTACAATACCCTCTTGTTGAGCAAGGAAATTATACATTTCATCGATTTTTGCTACTGTGATTGTCTCGCTATGTTATATATCCTTGTATTTATGGGCTTGTAGTTGATTAAGCATTTGATGTGATTCCTCTGTACTTTTTACTGAGCGATTTTAGTCCATGTGAAAGTTTTCCTTGTTTGATTTTGGTGTTTAAGTCTTCGGATTTTGATTCATTTCTAGCTGTATCATATGCATTTAGTTGTTGATGTGAATTTGGACATGCTTTGTTGGATTTATATTTGAGGTCTCGTTCGTACTTATTATTTTGACTGTTTAATTCTTGTGCTTTGTCTAGCTTGATTATAGTAGTAGCTCTATTTTTCATTTACAGTTCTGTCCATATGGATTTTTCAGGATGTGGGAAAAGAAAAAAACATTTAGAAATCTGCCAAGAGATCAACTAGGCGGTGTTATATTTGGGTGCAACAATGATACAATAAGAGAGTGTCTCGAAAAGCAACTAGTAGGTCAGTTATTCGTCCCTAATATATTGTCCTTTGATTAAAAAAAATTAGGACAATGGGTTGTTGTTACTCAATTATAAACATTTTAAAATCTTTGACAGGTTTGCCTAGAGCACACTTTATATATGTGAAAAATGTAAATCCTGGTTTGCCAGTGTTCTTGTTCAACTACGACGATAAGAAGCTCCACGGAATCTTTGAGGCTGCAAGCTCTGGTCAAATGCTAATCAATCCATATGCTTGGAAAAAAGATGGTGATGAAAGACACGATTTCCTGCACACGTTTCATATCATTGTTTCTTTTTGGCTTTATCTGCTTATGTTGATGCACACCGTGTTGGCAAAAGATATGAACGACTACTCGAATAAGATGTTAACAGAGAGAAACTTTATCTTTTTCTATTACTTCAGAAGACAACGCTACAAGTCTTCAAAAAGAACTTGGAGAGAAAAAATAGGGCACTAGTTTAGCACTAACCCATGACCTGCTAACTGACTAACATCAACTAATTAGGACTCCTAGAGCTAGTTAACTGGAAACATAAAAGACTCCTAAAAGTACTGCCACTAACAACATTAAA